GTGTTGGAGAAGTATGAAACGTTTGCTAGCAATGTGTATAACCTTGCCAATGCAGAGGAGTCAATTTCGCAAACGTCGACTTACTTGGGAGTTCTGTCGCATCAGCACTACATGGTGGACGGAGAAGGCGAAGCTGGCGGAACGTTACGACGAACGTCGCCAACACAAGGAATTTTTTGACTCATTGAAGACGGTGTATGGACGCATGTAGCAGTGGATGGGAATGCTGCTCGATGCTACTTTAGGTGCTGCCTGCACATAGACAGAAGTAATGCAGATCCGGCGAACGCATTTTGACTGTCTCTTGAACAACCTTTAGAGAATGACAGGACTATGTTGCACAGGCTGCAACGACAAGAGATGAGGTTGTATTTTGCCGACACACCGAAAATGGATGAGACGCAGAGAGCACTTGCTCAGCTGCAAAATAGCAAGTGCGTCGGTGCCGGCGGGATTCCGCATGAAGTATTGAAACATGGCGGATCCACGTTGATTCCTGCACTGCACCACTTGGGGCAACGCGTGTGGATTGAAGGGGAAGTGCCAGCTGACTTGAAGGATGCCCTTGTGCTACCACTGTACAAGGGCAAAGGGGGCAAGCAATGTTGCATGAACTATCGTGACATTAACTTGCTGAGTTGTGGGTAAAGTGATCGCCTGAATTCTACTCAACCGCCTCGTCACCCAGGTCGTTAAAACGAACGTGGCAGAAGAGCAATGTGAATTCCATATATATGGTGCTTGTAGCTCATCAGTTGGAGGAGAAATTTGCAGTGCCGCGAGGCACTGTGGCTGATGTTGGGTATGCGTGTTTGTCTGAGTAAGTTTAATTGGATGTCTGCAAAGTAGTATGCGGAGGAGGGTGCAGCTGTGTGGACAAACCTCGGGTCACTGATGTTGTCTCTGGTGTTGAAGCAAGGCAGCATCTTAGCCACTGCTCCGCTTAACATTTACCTTCATGCAATGATGTATTGTGCTTTTGATGCTGCCTGCGATTACAAGGTCCGTGTGGAGCCCCGTCTTGATTGTGGGCTGCTGAACACCCGTCGTTTCGAGGCGAGAGGTATGGTGTTTGAGACAACTATCCGTATGTTGTTTGCCGACGATTGTGCGTCGTTTGCACACAGCGAGGACGAGTTGAAACACATGACTTCGGCTCTCGCTTCGACACCGGGCAAGTTCGGACGTATCGTCAACACAAAGAAGACTATAGAAGCAAAATATTTGCGAAGTGAAGTCTTTTCGGCAAATCACTTCATGTAAATACAATAAGACAGATAAAGGTGACAGAAATGCGCATGGTTAAGTTAACGAAGTCGATCGATAGTCCACTTGATACAGTCAGACGTCATGAGTCGCGCGAGCATGCGCGGAGACGCACACACACACACACACACACACAAAGCACCGACGTGTTGACCGACAAGCTGAAAATGGTCACTCTAAGCCGTAACAATCCGACATTACGGCCACGACAATAGGATAGATTATATCAGTGTTTCTGCGTGCACAAATCTGGCTGAACTATTCCAATTTTAATTGCTTTAGCAGTGGCCAACAAGCGCTTTCTGATTCCTTTGGGATTGCGCCGCGGTTCCGTGTAGACTATCTTGAAGGTGTCATTAGTCCGAATCTGATGGCCGGTACTAAGCAGATGTTCGAGCTGCGGACATTCTTAACCATACCATGTTGCAAAGAGGCAAGACTGTGCTCCGCTATGCGCCTAGATAGACGTCTGATCGTGTGCCCGAGGTACCTTGCACCCCAGGTGCTGGTGAACTGATATAGAACGAAAGATTCGGAACGAGCCGGGATATTGTCTTTGAGGCGTTGGGTGATGAGCGGAACAGTTTCAGCAAAGATATGAAGCTTAGCGACCGAAATGTTTTGCTTACCGCCAGTGATAGTCTCTTATTCAGTAGATCGAAAGCGATATCTCCTTTGAAAGGAACTGAGAGGTAAATATCCATCTTTATCGCAGTCGGTATAGCTTTAATTAGATCAGAAACAGCGGAATGATTTTTGATAAACGCAGCGGGATACCCGTTGCTTTGCAGCGTCTTTTGAGTAAATTTCCTTTCAGCTTCTAGCGTTTCTGGACTGCAAATTCTTGCTGTCCGATAGTATAGGCAACGCAGGTTTCTCTTGTACTTAATGGGTGCAAAACTAAGAAAGTGCAAGTACTGACCCAACCACGTTGTCTTACGGAAGATTCTTCTCTCAAGTGAGCCATCGGTTCGACGTTGCAACAGAACATCCAAAAACGGAAGTCCACCGTCATTTTTCAGCAAGGAAGTGAATTTCATTGATGGATGCGCATGGTTAAACTGGTCCAGTAAGTGAGCGGGATCGACGTGGGAGTTACACGACGAATGTGTCATCCATATACCGCCGAAAGAGATGAATTGATATGGTGTCGGATAGGGCCACGCTCGACTTTTGCGAGGATGCAATCGGCAAGAAGCAGCCCTAACGGCGGCCCCATTGCAATTCCATCTATTCATCGATAGTACTTTTCATCGAATATGAACTGCTTGTTAAAGGTACAGCGTAGGATTAGTTCTTTTACCTTTTGTGCAGAGATTTCAATGGCAATGTTATCAGCTATGCAATCGCAAATACAGTTCATAGTTACAAACAAAGGAACAATTGTGAAAACAGATTCCTGCCTCAAAGGAAAGCATCAATTTGTCTTTCATACTGAAATCTTCTAATGCTCTAACGAATTCAAATTAATCATCCACAGCATGGACTGATAATGTTGGCGTAGCGGCTCAAGCAATTGTACAAGCCATTTAACAACTGAATGCACGGAGGAGCCAGAAAAATAAGACAGTTCGCCTTTTCCAGCCTTTACCAGATATGGAGTCCATGAGCTTGCTCCAAATCCCGGTTGCTGATGATGTTTTGGAGACATCATCGAAATTCTGCTACTTAAGCAGTGTAATACCAACCGACCCGCAGGTGATGATCGAGCTGCGCGACCGCGTATCGAAGGCGGCTGCTGCAGCTGGAAAACTGGAGAAACGTGTGTGGAAGTATCTGCAGCTCACTGTTGGAACGAAGCTGCTGGTATATAAGTCTATGGTGCTAGCATCCAAAAGACGACGAGTCAGCCGTTTATCTAACCAGCATCAGCGCAGCCTTCATAAGTATGCCGCATCCGCTTCCATTCGATTTGCTAAGCCAGGCCGATAAAGAAGTTAATGTAGTACGTGCGCCACATCATCGTTACAGCTGCTCAGTACTTGTGACTGCGCGTACAGTTTCTTGCATTTCTTGCTTCCACCTCGTCTATAATGGCTCCAGGAGACTGTGAAACGTGGCTGGGGGAGGGAGTGCACCGTCCTCGTGACGATGCTAGGCTTAAAGAGTGGTTCCATGCATCCAGTGTGGAACGGGCTATGGCCCAAACACCGCCTTGTGTACGTCTGGTACGCATGATTCCCAAAGTTGACTGATTAGAATGTTGCTGCTGTATGGGTTGAAAAAGTGTGGGCCGGCACCGTGGATGAAACGTGGTTCCCATCCACACGCCACTCGGTCTTATCCTTTCGGGTTTACACTGGTCATGCGGTGTGTGAATGGAGCTGTCGGTGGTGCAGCGCAAGCCACTCATGGTCCCTTTGTAGGCGTAAGTCTCCTGTGGTTGTCCTAAGGAGGCCACAGTGACAGGCTAAACCGAAGTCTGATGCTGCCAACCATATATACATGGAAGCCTAGGAACGGATATACTCGCAGAGGATGTAATTCACATCACTTGCTCTCAACATCACACCCGGGACTGATTTCCTCCTAGTGTAGGTTTCTCAGGGAGGGACAACGTAGCTGGGAGATGAACTACTTGGTACATTAACCAAGTATCCGGGTGGACATCTGCGATGGGACTCATTGATACGTGAATATTTTAGTTAGACAGCACGCAACACAGTTAATCAGCATTTAACTCGGGTTAACTCTAGACGAAACTTATAAGACGAGAATGAACCAGGTGGTGAAAAGCTACGCTAGTAATGAGTGAGATAAGAATGTAAAGAACCAAGCCGCATTTCGAGAGCTAAACTAAACACTAAGATGCGATAGATGGTGGGTCTAAGTTTCTTAAGTAAATGTTTGAGAAGAGTCAGTTGTACTAGGATATACGATAATCATGAAGTTCACTTACAACCGAACACCGAAAAGTCAGTCAGTTGTGCGACTGTTTAGAAGCAAATGAGTTTGCTTTGGAGACAGCAAGTTGCGATTAGCCTTGAAGACGGTGCCAACGTGGTAAGATTCGTAGAATACTGATGAGAACTGTTTTGGAAAGATTGAGAATGTTGGTATGCTGTGCAATGAGATATAAGTAAATGTTGATAATTCAAGTGGTCCCGTTCGATGGTTCCCTGGGATTTCCAATTCTGCTACGAGTGCTGCATCAGCAACTAAGGTGACATACACAGTGAGCCGTGTTGTGGCCCATGAACAGCCAGCTCGATAGACGGCGACGTTCGAAAAGGAATCGCATTCACCACGAGCGCACTACCTAGGGAAGAAAGTATTTGCCCACGGTCGATTTAAAATCAGCAAGGTCTAGTAGTTATGAACTGCGCGTTACGACGAAAAATTGAGCGGATAACAGCACAGGTCTTAGGGTGGATGATTGAATACTTGAGAGAAAGTAGGATCAAGTTGAGCACATCCACTTCTATTCAGCCGTGCAACTACACGTATCGCAGATTAGACTGAAAACCTGTGCCTTTGTGAAACGGTGCAGATAGAATGCAAAAAATAAACACTATACCTGGAAATAATGACACCAATACGAACTCCTAACCGAACAAGGATAAACGAATAACTGACTAAACCCTGTCGCTGATAACCCGCAATAAAGGTTTTTGATTTTTCATAATTTGATACACTTGTATAGAGACTTTTCTACTTGCTCTCAAATACAGTCTGAGTCCCAAGATTGCGTAAATGAATAATCGCTGCACATGTTGTTGTTTCCCGTACCACAGAGCAGTTATATCAGCAAGTGGCCCGAAGAATAACCAACGATGTATTGCAAAAATCACAGCAACAAACGCTCCAGCAAAGTAGACGGTCTAGTGAAGAGCCGATGAATGAATTCCCCACAGTGGAAATGCCAGGTGATTGCGCACCTTCAATAGACCTGCAATCGACAGCAGCACCAGTGTTAGCGGCCCAGCAAAACATGTGGCCAGAAGAAGGGTTGGACCCAGTGCCGAAAATAGTGCCAACGAAAACAATGAGCAACGTCGACTCTTCCAAACAGTCCCCCATGCTACGTGATGCGCAAGTGAACACGGGACGTGAGTTGTCCCCTGCAACTGAAGATGAAGTGAACAACGAATCTGAGTGGTCGCATTCCATGCATCACTACAGGCATCATCACCGACACTACCGCGCAGGCTCCGGTGGTGAAAGAACACACCACAGCGGATTCAGCCCTCCTTGCTGTGGTGCTCGAAAAGAGGCCCAGTCTAACCGAGTTGTGTGCCACTTCGGTCATGGAAAGACCAGATCACACAAGCCCAAGAGGTTGTCACGCTCTTGCACCCAATTGAGAGGACAGGAAATGGTTTTGTGTGGCTGCAGCCGATGTTGTGGATCGGCGGTACCTTATGAGGCAGGTGCTGGACTTCGTGTTGTGGAAGACCATTCAGATGACACAAGTTCCACCACACAAACAGCAAGTGAAACGTCCGAAATGCAGCGTATGACCATGACGCTGTTGACGACGATAGCAACAACAGCGGAACTGCTGAGAAAGCAATATAAGAAGCAAAAGGTGCTGAACGCAAAAGCAACAGGAAAACGTCCCAAACGACTGGATAAGGGAGAGCCAACAGACGTTAATCGTATTATGCATCAGAATGATCTAGAAGGCGATGAAATTCATGGAGTGCAAAACACAAGTTGCGCTGAGCCGTACTCAATTCACGACAGTGCAATGAGGTATCCGGAATTCGTGCAAAATTTCAGGATTACTATTCCTGCAGAATGGCTTTCCGTCAATAAAAACAAAAATGTTACGGGCCGCCTAGAATCCGGCAGAGAGCACGGAGTACAGTGCGATTTAACATCACAGTCACAGCAGTTGAGTGAAGAGTTCTACGGTTTAGGAAGCCGGTTCAGAAATATAAACAAACCATTCGAGCATAACCCATATGAAAGTGAGGTACGAGGAAGATTGGGCCAAAAACACAGAGAACAGCGCCATTTAAAAGTGGGCGTGTATGAACAAAGAAGCTTGAGAAAAGGCCGAAGAGTTAAGGCGAAATTCGCGGAAGAGTGCAGGCATTCAGTATCCGGTTCACTTTTACCATGCACAGTACAGGAGATTGCCGAAGAAGACTTATCGCTAATGTTGACAACGGTGAATTGTTGCTTGGAAACGACACGAAACTCACAGGCGGATAGCGAGTTAGACAAAGCACGCAGTTCCACGGCGCTTGAAAAACCGAAATCGCCGGCTGAGATGTATGACACAGTTGCCTCCGCCGAACAGGGTAAAATGAGCAGCGAAGACTTTTTGCACTATGGAATGGAAGTTAGATCACCGAGCACACCGAGTGTGGTAATAGACCACTCGTGTCCATCGCAACCAGGTACCCCAAGCTACGATACCTCGTACGTGACTCCTTCCATACAATCCAGGCAGTCAATAGTGGACCAGTGCATCCTAGGACCACAAGAAAACGACTTATCTAAAAGGGGATGGGCGCCGGTTAGCAACTCAGCATACTTATGGTGTGCGAGGGAAGGCCGCCATGCACGGATGATTTCAGTACAATTCAACCAAGAATGTTCAAAGCCGAACCCATCTGCCGGAAATGAGACGCTGCTGAATGGCATTTACTCTAAACCGGTTTGGCACGACTGCGCATCCGCGCGAGATGGCGCAAGAGAGCACCAAACACTACAACCTAAAGTGAAACATAGTATCGATCTGGTAAATTTATCGAATAAATCCAACTCTTCCGACCCAGATCATGTTCACAAAGAGTCAACACCGGTAACAATATCGCTAAGCATGCAAGCCAATTGGACGAAGGAGGACGCCAACGGAATAAAGCACAGTGGAGTCACAGAGTCCGGCCAGTGTACAGAAATACAAGACTCAACGCAGAGCTCAGGTCTCGCAACAAGATACGATCAACAGCCAAGCGACAGAGAGGTGCCCAACAGCTGGGCAGCATTGACCACAGATACAGCGGATTTGATTCGAAAAACTGTACAATGTCGACTAAATCTTTAAGAAAAAGGTAAGTTTAAAGTGAGGAAAGTGGGTGTTGCCAGATAGCAGCAGGGCACTCCAAGGTCGGTTTGGAATTTGTTTGCATATATCAAGTAGCAAGTACGACTGCGACACGAATCCGAGAGATTAGGGTTATCAGGTGAAGGCTTTACATCTAAGCTACAAGTAACAATCAGTCCGAAGTTGTGCGTCGCAATCCATCTATGCAAAGAGTGTGCTTAAATGATCTCCGAATTAGTAAGCCTAATTTCTTTCATTTGTGCAATGAGAACACTAATACTACCTGCGCTTGGAACAGTGAGAATACTCAGTTGGTAGCTTTTTGTTGGACATAATAAGTAAACGGTAAACCAGGTGGTCGTAATTATATATGAATGCTATAAGGTTAGGTATACACTCCAGTTAATTACTAAGCGTGGATTAGACCCTACGTGTTGTTGTCACCAAAATAGTTCGGGTAAAATGTATTTCAGATGATTAAAAAGAGGAGTTATTCTGCGTCGAATAAGTTTGAAACAAACAGGTGTAGCAACACAGAATGTTTGCTTCGAAGATGCTAGTACAAATGTAGGCTCAACCTATCGAGTACTAATTCAGTGATAGGTTGAAGTAACCCCCGGAAACTGAAGATTGGAATGATGCCCACGAAAAAGAGAAAATAAGCAGACAAATGGAGTGCATCGATAGATAGTGATCTTCGTCCTTGGCCGACATATCAGAAGTAATAAGCTTTAATCCGGGGGGGGGGTGGGGTGCCTATAATTAGGGCCCTTTCATTACTATGGTTCTGCGGTTGATCAAAGTGTAACACAGGGGCACCAGCTGTACCTTAAGCTTCAGTAAGGAAGGTAGCAAAAGCGGACACGAACTGGAATTGTGTAAAAAAACATAGCAAGATGGAAGTCAGGGTAAGCAAAAATGTCTTAGATAATTCATATTCTGGCTTGTATATTTATAAGTAAATCAAAACGCGTGTACAGACACTCATCGAACGGGGTAATTGGACTCTGACAGTTGCTGTCGGTTAGGCTACAGCAACTGACTGCACATGATATTGCGTGTCAGAGATCGCAAACCGTTTGAGCTAAAGTAGTTACAACTCTCGGATGAACACCCTCTGAACACAGCCGGATCGCAGTTACCTAAGCTGCCTATATTATTCGCCTGCAGATGCAGTTTGATCAGATGGTGGGAACTGATAAATGATTTTGGACGAGTCAACTGATTTAGTGGCATGCCCCATATAGGCGAGATTGTAGCTATTGACAAGTTGGCTGTATTTCTGCTTCCAGTTCCAAGCCAGGCAAGGTGGTGTTCCTCCACTCTCAGACAGCTGCTTTCCTGTACGACCAAAACATTCTGCTTCACAGGAGCAAAGAAATAAGTAAATACACACTGACTTGGTGCGAACACTGATAACGATTATCAGGGTCCAAGTAACCCGTTCTATGAGTTGCGACTTTAGTGGATGGACACGCGTTTTGACTCGCATGTGATTGGATAGGCCTGAAGATGAATTATCGGAAGCATATATTAGCTCATATTGATTTTTCGAGCTGTGTAACAAAGGTACTGGAAAAGAGGATGTGCTGCAGTTAAGCTGTTCAACATCATGGCTATGTTCGGAAGGATAGATAACCACTCCCATATGTTCGTTATATTCAGATACTTTCGAAGCTGAACATCGGATGAGAACACGCAGTAGTTACACACAAGACGGAAGAGGAACATGGTCAGCACACACTGAACCGACGCTATGTTGTCCAAAGCTGCAATGGGGGGCAGAAATCTGCAAAGTTACAAGAAATATTGCATATGCCATTAATGCAAATTATGTTTTCGCGTGATGTTACGCCCCACTCTCAGTTGTGTATCGATCTTAAGTTGAGCTACACCTGGGTGTTTTCAATAAAAGTTCTGTTGACAACAGATGGTCTTTTCCCTTGAGATCGCATGTGGTAGCATTGTAGAAAAAAGCATGAAAAAATCGCGTCTGACCAAATGCTATCCCTCTCTTTCAGACAAACCACATTGTTTCTTTAAACGATGGAAGTGTGAACAACGAACGGCCTTGAAGACCACTCAGTTCATCTCACGAATTTGGGAGCATGAAACAAGCAAATACGAATAATGCAGCTGACGAAGAGTCAGGGAGTGAATGTGAGCTACTTTCACCGGAGCAGAGGGCTCAGACGGACCAATCGAACGCCGGTCTAAGTCCATTGGGCGAGGTGCCACGCGTTTACCCGGATGTTGAGGATATCGAACGTCTACCAGTCACGGACCGTGAGCGGTACCTCTCGTTACCAGCACAAAACAGATGGACAGGAGGGACATCGTCCGGGTGCAGAAGGCGCAGCGGTGGCCAACTGTGTTGTCATTGGAAGTACACGGAGCATGGAAGACGAAGCAGGCGAACGTTTTCATTTCCGCAGGCTAGCAGACCGTTCAGACTGTATCCACTGCCTCGCTCGGAGTACGTGAAGCCGGTCTGTGCCCGCTGTTTGACCAGCAGACCACATACACAGGGGACACAATTTGGCGATGTAAGGCACACAGCCAGTTCTATTCATTCGAGTAACCTGTTTGCAGGATTATTTGACTGGATGAAGGGGTTATTCAGTCGACCACCATCTGAAGCAACCCATACGCCATCCTACATGGAGGATAAAATACACCGGTACGGTGCGCATAAGGAGGATAGATTACGGCGATCGAGTTCGGCGAGGTCCGAGAGAGGGAAAATTTCAAGAGCACCGAGCTCCATCATACCAGACTTATCCAGTCAAATAGACGTCAGTCTGGACAACCAGACAGAAGATAATGAGCAATCACGGAGTGCAAACAGTACAATAGCGGAGGCATCACCTACGTTCCAAACGGCATTCCAAGCCTCTGTTCATATAAAGCATTTTGATACGACAACTACATACTATACACCTCGAGATCGAACAAAATCTGCCCCGGGACCATCGGATACACTGTACGGTATTCCACAGGAGGTAGAGGAAATAAGCCCCAACGGAGTCCTTACCGGTTTTACTCCGTCATTGATTTCTATCCCGTCCATGGGGTATACTACATACCGAACACCAACATCCGAGCAGCAGGTTATGCGCGGCGCGGAATCAAATGGAACAAAATCAGCAAAGACAGATGAGGCTGTGCACGAGCAACTGACCGAGAAAACGTTGGGACATGTCCCTTCTGTTACTGGGATATCACCAAGCGCAGCGGATAAACTTTCGCAGAACAATCCATACTCGGATAGTTCCACGGTACAGCAAGCTGCAGAGTTTGTGTCAGAATACGACGTACCATATACTGCAAAATGGCCCGACGCAGTTATGGTGACTTCAGAATCGAGAAAAGTTAAAGGCCCTCAAGTGGAAACGCAAACGGATGCAGCAAATTCCTTGCGCACCACATTCGTTCAATCGTCGTTCAGCACAGCCCCGGTGGATCGGACGAACTCACCCATAAACATTAGGCAAGTTAAACAGCAAGCGGAAACCGAAAACGGTGACATTGGCACTAGCGCGGCTCCACAGGAGTTCCTCGACGATATCGGTAACACTGGAATACACGCAGCGCAAGTGACTATAACTTCGTACACAACAAGAGAGAGTGACTATCAAGAGCAAGAGAAAGATGTGTTGGACCCGGTGCTACAACTGCAGCCAAATATGGTGGAAGCGAGTGACAACATGAAGACAGTTGCAGCGCCCAATATGCAAGTGAACGAGCAGAACAAAAAAGCTTACGGGGGAGCAGCTGAAAACATGACACAGCCGAGATCGTACGTCACTCTGACGGCCTATGAGATGGTCTCATCCAGTGACTCAGTGGGGATGGGACATGAAATTCACGAGAATGCATGTGTGAGTCGCACAGAGAAAAGTACGAAAAAGCAGCGAGATAGGGAAGGCAATGTTCAAACAAGGGACTACGACGTGTTGGATACTCGGGCTGAGCGAAAAGATCAGACGTGGGGAGCGGATGAGGGCGATCGCAAAAAGAGGGGCGAGGAGAGTTATGACAGGAAGAGGCGGACTCCAGATGACCTAATGGATGAAAGTGAAACAAGTAAAAGGCGTAGGTCATTATCGTTAGAAATTAGACAAGAAATAACTATTCGGAGCACATCCATCACACCGGATAGCATGTGGGTCATCGAAACCGACTTGCGTATCAAATCACCAATGGAGCTCTCTAATCCTGGATTACTGTTGTCGGAACTTGAGGAGGAGAAAACGGGGGATGTAGTGCTCGATTTTGCTCCGAAGTATACGAATTATGGAGTTGGCCAGATCGAGGTCGATGAATCACGGTGTCCATTTATTGTAGGTGGGAAAAGAGGCACTCCGGATAAGATGGACGGAGCAACAACACTGGGGAACCAATTAAGAGAAGAGTGGTCGCCAAACCAATGCACGAGCACCGACATATTAGAAGAAAACCAAAAACCCAGTAGGTACGAACATCTGGTAGACGACAGGACTCAAATGAAGGACATCGATCTACAAGGTAGACGGAAGACTGAAGACAGATTGACCGCACAGAGTGAAATGTACTGCATGTGCAGAGCAGAGTGTGTAGAGTCTATTACAGAGATCTTTCATAGAGGAACTAACTTAGAGGGGACGTCAAAAGGGGTGATTAAAACAGACACATCAGAATTATCAGGACAACAATTCGAGTTGAACGAGGGGACAACGGTAATGCATGCGCGCGTTCAGATTAGGCGAAGTACATACAATGAACCATTGAGTTTAGAGTGTGAGCCATTAAAATATGAGGTAGGGGTGTCAGAAGCTGGTCCGACCTCGGACCTGGAAAACAGCTTGAAGTCAATAGAAGGGAAGATCAAAGAACCCGGCTCAGTAGAAGTAGCAAGCGATAACGTAATTGATCAGTCAGTCTCGAAAGTGAAAAATAGCAGGAACCTGAAAAAAGCAAAAAGTAAACCAGAAGATCTTCGATTAAAAGCGAACGCCATATTAACCACCGATGTTCTGATGGAAATGGATCCGAAGACACTCCCAGAAATAGAAACCAGTGAACTCACTGGAAACTGGAACTCATTGGAAAAAGTAATAAAGGAAAGCCCTTACATGGATGCAAGAGCATCAGAGGAAATTCGGGGGATCACAGGTGATTTGCCTATTGAAAAGGATATAAGTGAAGAGCGTGGAGTCAGTCGTGTGGCAGGAATTCTCAGAATGAACGAGTGCATGGTTGGGCGCAATCTGTCAGAAGAGCCGTGCATAGGAGAAAGTACCTCAGTGGTTGGGTCGAACACCGAACCGAAGCTCATAGAGGAAGAGTCCGCGCAAAATATGCGGACGGGAATACCATGCAACGATGAGGTGCTCCTTCAGACGAACCTGATGGTCGGAAGAGCTCATTTTGTAGAAGGTTGGAATACAGTGGACGAACAACGGTTCGAGAAAACAATGAGCCTACCGGAACGGCTAGTGCAGGCAAGTACGAGATCTGCCAGTAACCTCGGTTCTGAAGTTAACAGTTTCGAGGGCGAAGTCCTGTTTAATGGCATCGCTTATCCTGAAGATTCAGCTAAACTTAGCAAATTAAGACCGGGGAGCCAACCCAACCTAAGTTCTTATGATGAAAAATCGAAAGATGGTGGACAGCTTATGAAGTTCGACGTGACAAAGGAACATACGCTAATCGAAAACATTACTGACAAAGAACTTCCATATACGGTAAATGCATCGGAAAAGCAATCGCTCGCGAGCAATTACTGCTCAGGTGTGGAGACACCAGTGAAGGAAGCAGGGTCGTATGTGAGCATGGTATCCTATATAGAGGAAACAGTAAATATAAGAAACAGATTCGCCCATACTGACGGACCAATGAGGCGCACCCTAATGACCGAAACCGCCACCGCATGCAAAGTGCCGTCCTCCGAAAGCAGAAAAACAGAATTGTATGAAGAAAATAGCGTGAACACGTTCCTGAGAATTCACGCAGCAAGACGTCCTCGCATGGAGCACCACGGACGACCGACAAGCTTTGCTCAAGAAGGCCTCTTGTCGGCAATGCCTAGAGTACAGGAACACGACGCCGTGCATAAAGTGACCACAGCAAAAGAGGACACTGATTTGGCATCTAATGCAGACGTATATACGCCGGAGATATACGCGAGCATAGACGAAAGTGCTGCTAACAGAGGGGTGTATGCATCTTACCTTCCTGTTAAACCTTACGAGCTAGTGGTCCTGGAGGAAGAAGGAAATACATGGACCACACCGATCAGTGTCAGTTTTGTAGTTGATATGCAGCTGGGGAGGATAATGGACTCCTTGGTTGTTCAAAGTACCGCGATGATTACATTCCGACAAATGGGTAGAGAAAGTGTCAGGAAAAAAGTAAAGTCGATCGATGAGGTGTTTGATGTTGAACGCGGGATGGAAGATGTGCTGGCTCCGGAAGAACCACACGACATCCCAGAAGTCACCGATGATTTGGTACTAAACAGTGCCAGAGTCGCGAGCCGGCAGAAGGCGTTACAATCCCCTGAGCAAACATTCACAAGCGAAATGATCTCTCCCGAGACAGTGATCGCAATAGGAGTGGAGGCAACGCAATGCTTGAAGCAAAAAATGAAACTAATAAGTGAAAGCAGTGAGATAGGGACGGAAGGTGAGCAGGGTCAATTAGAGACAATATCCAACAGGCAAAAGTTTCATGCGACCACAGCCGCATCGGAGCGAGAATGTCACAATAAGGAAAATCAAGAAATACTGTTGGAGAAAAGCATCAGCCTGATACCCGAACAAGGATCCGGTGTGTCGCTAGGAAATCGATCGTTCACCGAGAGAAGTCTGATAAAACCAGGCGCATTGGAAATGATAAATAGAAACTATGTGGTCGAGTGGATACAACACGGTAAAGGTGTGAACGAGCAAGAGAGTGACCTGGCGTTTGATGTGATGATCCGAGGAAAACGTATAGAACCGATGCAAGAGAGTGGCCCGAATGAATTAGGACATGAACTGGTTCAAATTGACATACCGCAGACAATGATGGACATTACTGGCCCTAGACAGACGAATGTTGCAGTGGGCAAAATAAACCAGGAGCCAAATAGAGATACGTACGTGAGTCAGATGCCGGTGGACCTTCGTTGGGAACAAATGGAGTCTACTGTGACTGAAAACAAGCCTACGCCGAAAGTTCCATCCAACTTGCCTGTTCTCCCAAGTGAGGTTATTCGTTCGAACAAAGACAAGGTCAAAAAAGGAGTTGCTCAAACATATGATACGCCCATATTAAATGTAGTAATAACACAAAACAACGATTTAGGGAGAGATGCGCAGCTGGAAGATGTAATATCAGAGGGAGGTGTTCAGTGGGAGTTCGAACGTATTCCAACCAGCAAGCCGAGTGTGGACTCTACTCCGAGTGTCTATTTTACAGTAAGTAGTGGTCAGCCAAAAATTTTCAAAACAAACAGAAAATCTTGGGAATCAGATGTGCAACCTGAGGCAGACTCATACGAAGGCGTGAAAGAGGTAGAATCTGAGGAAACAGGCGGAATAGGAACGAAACCGAGTGTTGACGAAGTTCCAGAAGAGCACAGTAACCAAGATTTCGAGCAGGAGGACATCAGCCAAACCACTCCATTGCCTCAGAATCAAAACCGAGTTGGAGTGGTCTACGTATTCGGTGAGCAATTAGCCCTAGCGTATGATAACGGAGTGCGGCAACCCATTGGTGAACAGAATCTTCAACGGACTGCTCAACAAGTGGAAGCAGACAGACCGGCGTGCGCGGAACGTAGAGCGCAAGTAAATGTGGAGGAAATACAGCTTGACGCAACCGGTAGCATGAAACGCGATGGTGTGAAGGACAGTAAAACAAACAGTGTCCTACATGTGGACGCAGACATCCGTTTCGAACTGCAACTAATATATGTTGAAGAGATAATGACGAGGACAGAGGTGTATGTCCATTTGTTGGAAGCGCCAGATCATACAGAGTACTGGTCTGAATCAATGTTTGAAATGGAACGGTATAGAGGAGTCCCGACAATGGGACAAGATGAGACAGTACCAAGACAGTTCAATAAGTTCGGCAAGACGACGGACGCAACAAGGCACCAGATAAGTAGATCGATTATCCAACAGTTGGATGTAGATGAACGAACAAACACCAATTCCATGAAACCGACCATACATGCGAGGTCAGAAGTTATAGAAAGACTGAGTGGCGAAACGGACAAGAAACCGTTTTCACTTCGATCTGGATTAGGAGAGGGTAGATCAGAGCAGGAGAAAGCAGCAGATACAATTCACGCAACGGTTAAAGCTCGAGTAAGTTGCCAAAAAGAAACCCAATCAGGTGAAAAACAGCGATCACATCTGAAACACAAACAACCAGATTTAGTGCTAGACAAATCGATCGAGGGAAACCTAAGCGATCTTGACGAGGATCAACACATGCATGGAGAGTCAAAGGAAGCCAGTGCAATTTCGTTGAACTTATTAGGTTCAGCACGATCATTCAGGTCGGTAAGTACTGATGGACAGGGCGGAAGATACAGATGGTCATCAGAACTTTCTATAGGGACCAGTTCACGAGGTGGGAGTAGCATATCGTTGCCCAACTACACGGACACAGGCGATGTGAAAGGGAAACGTGCTGGAACAATTCGACATGCCAAAGCGCCTACGTCACCTGCAAGCTGTGCGTTGAATCATAAAGAGCTAGAGCGGGGTCAGTGGAGTACGGGACGACCAAGCAGTCCGCTGGAGTGGTCGCTCGCATCAACTATGTACGTGCCGTATTCTAACCGCACAACTAGCTCGGACAGCGCGCTACCAACCTCACCCACAGGACGAAAGCTGGCGCAAAGATCACAGCTGGTATTCCTCAAGACAAATAAACAAGAGGAGACAATGCCGTCGAATCACAATGTGCAAAAAGAATTCAGTAACAGCAACCGACCTTCGCCGACAGGTAAGGCGGAGGTCAAGCAAGCAGTTAGCATAGGAACGTCGGAACTGCATCCTATGCGGCTGACAATATCGCAAGAAGTTCAACATAGTAAACTCTTGCATGAAGAGATACGATCTAATGTGATAGACCCAAATAATGAGTCACCGTGTGGACTCAGCCAGAACACGCCATCAGGTGTGCGACTTCTAGCTGACGAGAATACACCAGTCAACATCGATTCACAGACAAAACAAATGACGGTGGCCAGACAAATAACAGACAATGCGATCAATAAAGCAATGGAAAGACTAAGCATCAGCAAACCCGAACCGGCTTCCCCACAGCCACAGTCCACACAAGATATAGATCTTATGGAGGACGGAGAATTTTTCGCTGTAGGACGAGTAGCCAAAGTGATGACCGATGGCACGGTACATGTAACATCGAGCGTTGACATCGGTGAGCAAATGCGCAGACCATTGACAATCGCAGTGAGTGCTGTGCCTCGCACTAGCGCTCAAATTACTTCGGTTGCTTCTCGGTGGGACGTACAGTCATCAGGCCCGGTCAACACTAAACCAACGACAGCAAAAAGAGAGAGAGCAAGTAGTATTTCCTTGAGGACAGACGTGCGTGTGAGCTCACCGCTTAGATATGGAACAGGTTCCTTTAGTCCAGATGTGCGGCCACCTAGTGCTAATATTTCCATAGAGCAAGACAGCACATATTCGACGAGTGCAATCAGCGCATTGTGGGTGAATAACTTGACAACTACAGTGGGGGAAAATAAAATTGAGGATCAATCGCGACAGATGCAAGGAAACATGGGCCTAAGACTAGTGACAAAAAGCTGCTTGCTCATTGATGCTCAGGCAATGGGGCCAATCGGATCGCCCCAGATGCCAACTGGAGCCGTAACATCACGACAGAGGACAGACAGTCCGCGTGGACATACGGACACCAACCAAACTGTGGTAGGCACGCCAGTATCTGAACTATCTACCATAAATAAAGCGAAAATTGATTTACGCGGTAGTCATAAAAGTGAAAAAAGAGAAGACCTGGTAAGAGCCACAGAGGATAACAACTACCAGCTAACAAGCATCACGGATGTGAAAACAATCACGAAAACCTCACTAGCGTTATCCTCTCCTACAGTACCGACTGATCAAGACCACACTCAGTCAGATGTAATGACCGATGTAAAATCGGTCGCGATCAAACATCAAGTCACTATGAATACAGGAGCGCCGATTGATAATTTGAGGGGAGAGAGTGTTCTGACTAGAGTCGCAGCTCATGCGGTGAGAAAGACGGAGGCTGGGGACCTATCGAAAGCGACAACTACCTCGATGAAAAATGATCTAAGAGTTACACCAGACCGAACAGCGGTGATAGAGACTCCATTAAGTGGAGCTCCGACAAGCCAACCGAATAGCGAACTGGTAATGGAACCGAGTGGCGCTAGTCCTCCGATATCAGCCTTAGCAACTAGTCAAGAAGACGACGCAACAAAACACATGATGATAACAGAAGTAAGCCAAACGATACACAGACCGGAGACAACGGGGTCTTGGCTGGAATTAGCAACCATTAAGAATAGAGAGTTCGTCGAGTCAATACACGGCGGCTACCCAATTCTATCCGAAGAAACGCACGAAGAACATGTAAATCTTACCACAGGCTCTAGTTTTCGATTTGGTAGTGATATCGATATAGCGTTTAGCCCATCACCGGAACAGACGTACGATATACCGGATATAGTCAGTCCCACATCAGGTGAAACATTAAGCTACGGTGCTCCAGAGGTGAAAGCACAATCGGCCCCTGGAATTTTAAGTGAACGACCATTGTATATGGAAAATAAACCAATGGTTGATGGTGGCACCTGCTTAGGACAGAAAGAAATAGCATATAATGAAGAAAGACGTGCTGACCTGCACCTACAGCACCAGATGATGCTAAACGAAAACGGTGAGCCGCACAAAAGGACATATATAAATACAGAAATTAGAGCATTCCCCAATGTTGTTAAGCAAAAAGAGACACAGAAGATGCCGGTGGCGCAAGCTTGGAGAGAAACACAACCAGTTATAAGTACTGAAGACTCACCCCAAATTGTCGGTCAAAAAACAGAAGTCGTACAAACAAGAGAACGAAGACCAGGAGTATCGGAAGGAGCCCAAGAAGCTACCAACATCGGAGAACAACCATATACGATTAGTCAGAAAGGAATGCAAGAAAAACAAGATACGTGGCCCGAAAAGGAGACACGGCCAATTTCAAGCACCAGAGAGTCCCTGCAAATCGCGGATCAAGCAGAACCGAAAGCTAAGCTTAATGAGCAGCAAAAACAAGAAGAGCTAACCCCGGCTATACAAATCGAGGGAGCAACGGAAACAGATATCGAGGAGGATACAGCATGTGCGCAGGAATCGGATGTTCCACCCAGTGCAGACAAAATGGAGCGCATTCACGTCATCAGCCATGCAGTGGTGACGGGCGAGTATCAGGAGGTGCCAAACGAACAGACCGGGATGGCCGAACAAGCATTTGTTCCTCATCTCGAAGTGACCACAGAAACGTACATGGAGAAAGCAGATGGTACAATAGTACCCATGGAGTCCACAATAAAAACGATCACACTGAGACAGCAAGAAGATCTCAAGAGCCAAGAGACTGATGGTGTGTTATTTAAGCATATCATGCCTGCCAGTCCAACACTGGTTGACGGCAAGGCAATGCAAATCAAGCAAGAAATAAGCGCCAGGTTAGTGAAACCCGAGGATTTGCATACCAGCATGACATTGCCAGAGGGAATTACGGCGAAGAAAGATGACGCAACATCCCATGCACCTGTGTCGATACGTGAGGAGGTGAGATCCAAGACACAGAGAGAATCACCAATGGAACCCGTACACAGTGTACAAATGGCAAGTGAGATAAGCGAAATGGATTTGAAATCGCAGCCGAAATTGAATGAAGCTCAAGTAGCCACTAAAACGGGGGAACAAGAGAGAACAGAATTCGAGAAACAGTATGAAGTCAGGGAAGATATAAAAACTGTGGAACCAGTGAGTCAACTTTCTAAGAGGCAAGTGACCCGTGAGGAAAGCTCACAAGCTCTGTCAGTCAGTACAGAGGCCAAAGCAGGAGAGCGTAATGTAGAGCCCAAGGCAGAACTAGAGGAAAGTGCGGTAACCTCGGCGACAGAGGCGACCGCAGAAATCCGAATGGAAAGAGTTGCGGACACAGTGGAACCTATAAAATCCTCAGTGGAAGCGACTGTGGTTGGGGAGCAGGAAGGCAGTAAGTGCCGAGAAGTTGATGATGTGTTTTCCGAGCATATGCCATCGGCTAGTCCAACAACGGTGGATGGTAAAGCCATGCAAACCGGACCAGAAGTAAGTGCTGGGTTAGTGGAACACGAGGATGTGAATGCTAGCATAACGTTGCAGGAAATTAAAACAGCAAAGAAGGAGGAAGCGGTATCTCATGCACCTGTTTCGGTAAGCGAAGATGCAAGGACTAGGACACCAAGGGAATCACAAGTGGAACTAATGCAGAAAAGCCAACTGGCAAGTGAGATAAGCGAAGTGGATTTGAAATCGCAGCCGAAATTGAATGAAGCTCAAGTAGCCACTAAAACGGGGGAACAAGAGAGAACAGAATTCGAGAAACAGTATGAAGTCAGGGAAGATATAAAAACTGTGGAACCAGTGAGTCAACTTTCTAAGAGGCAAGTGACCCGTGAGGAAAGCTCACAAGCTCTGTCAGTCAGTACAGAGGCCAAAGCAGGAGAGCGTAATGTAGAGCCCAAGGCAGAACTAGAGGAAAGTGCGGTAACCTCGGCGACAGAGGCGACCGCAGAAATCCGAATGGAAAGAGTTGCGGACACAGTGGAACCTATAAAATCCTCAGTGGAAGCGACTGTGGTTGGGGAGCAGGAAGGCAGTAAGTGCCGAGAAGTTGATGATGTGTTTTCCGAGCATATGCCATCGGCTAGTCCAACAACGGTGGATGGTAAAGCCATGCAAATCGGACCAGAAGTAAGTGCTGGGTTAGTGGAACACGAGGATGTGAATGCTAGCATAACGTTGCAGGAAATTAAAACAGCAAAGAAGGAGGAAGCGGTATCTCGTGCACCCGTTTCAGTAAGCGAAGATGCAAGGACTAGGACACCAAGGGAATCACAGGTGGAACCAATGCAGAAAAGCCAACTGACAGGCGAAATAAGCGAAGTGGATTCGAAAATGCAACTAAAAGTGAACGAAGCTCAAGTAGCCACTGAAACAGGGGAACAACAGAGAGCAGAAAGCGAGAAGCAGCTCGAAATCAGTGAAGAAATTAAAGGTGTGGAGATAGTGAGTCAGCCATTGGATACGCAAGTGACTTCTGAGGCAAATTCCGTAGCTATACCAGTCAGTGCGGAGGCTAAAGCGGGAGAGCGTAAGGTGGAACTCACAGTGGAAGCAGAAGAAAGTGTTGCATCACCGGCAGCAGAAATGATGAGAAGTTCGGCCAGTAGACCTAAACAAGAGGATGATATCGTGCTCAGTGTTTCGAATCATGCAACTAAAACGGGAGAGCAAAGGGGCTCTGACACCCAGGAAAAAATTAGCACATTCTTAATCGAGACAACAGTCTGGATACCAAACGGTGTTGTGCAGTCAGAACACGAAGCACCTGGGGTAATGATCGCGACTGCAGCAAAGGCAGCGGAGCAAACAACACCAGACACGCAGGAGATAGCAGATAAAACAACCGTGGTTTCCCCAGAAATCACAAGAGAGATGACAGTCAGCCCAGCAGCACTAGAAGAGAAGATACATAACACGGTTTCGGGTGACCACAAGGCAAAGATTAGTGAGCAAGAACACGCCGTTCCGGAAGAACGTGTAGATGGGGTTAGCAGTATGACGGCAATTCACGTGACCGGCAGGGTTCACGCAACGGAAATGGAGCTGGGAGCCAACGCGGTTGGTGCGCCAGCCGAGGTTGGAGAACAGCTAATGAAAAACAAAGAAGAAGAGCTGGACGGCACCGTCCCAGGTGCTAATGAAGAGACATCGAAAAAGTTGGCATCCAGTGACCTGTTACCAGACACACTGGCAGAAGCAGAAACAATACCGTTCACCGAAACGCCAAGGGAAAGTGGCAAAGCTATACAGTTAGAAGAGAAACAAGATGAGAACACAGTAACTAAGCAGGTGGAGGATAAGATGGCGCAGCTTCTGCAGGAAAAACAAAGTGAAAGATACGACACTGCGAGTGGCCCGACAGAGCACGAAAGTGAAAGAGAAGGAGAAACTAAATCGGATTTACTGGTACAAAAAGAAGCTAATCTAACAGTCTCTGAGACGGCTTTGTTAGAGGATACAACAGCTGCTGTTGACATGGAAGCAATAAGTGAGAATGAGCCTAACCAGAAAATAATCGAAGTGGTACCAATAGATGAGCGGCTAGCTTCAATAAATGAAGCCGATCAACATCAGCAAATGGGAGAGAGTAGGCTGGTTAGTGAGACGATTGAAGCGAAATCGATTGCAGAGATTACGGGAGTAGATATCAAGGGGCCAACGAATAAGGACGCAGGGAGACTACCACACTCCACAGACACTGTGGAGATTATGCTCATTAAAAGTGAAATCCAGACGACAGAGCAACTGTCCGTAGCAAGATACGCAGAAGAGCCTGACGTAGAGAATATTCAACTTATGCAACAGCTTGATATACAGGAGTCAGCGGTAGCTAGTTCCCGTACAAGTCGAACATCGGTGACACAAGTCACAACTGAGGTCGTACTACAGATGAAGCCGGGTGATCCGCCTGAGATATCCATCAAAAGTATAGCCACTACCATACCGGAACGGACCGCACAGGAAACAGAAGTGTTCCCTAATGTAAAGCTCTTCCCTATTGGTGAACAGGAAAAAGAGCGACTGGAGAAGACAAGTGTAATGACAGAAAGCGCATCCACGAGTGCCGTGACAGGCGGAAAAACAGATACGCTGAGTGATTTGAAAGCCACATTAAAGCAAGAGGACGTGGAGGGTGAGCAGAGTGAGCAGATATATGGAAAAGAAACTCAGATGATGGGGTTAACGGTAGACGCAATTCCGGTAGGTATTTCGATCAGTGAAGGCTTTCCAATGACTCATGTGGCTGAAGGGAGCTTGGGCCCGACAAGACCAGGTATGCTCACTGGCCTCCAAGCGATGAATATTCAGGATCCGAAAAGTCCCGAGTTAGATGCACAGTTGGCACAAGATGAAACACATGGGTTAATTGAATACAGTCAAACGGCAGCAGATGTGATACCTGAAGGGGTCTCTCGGATAGAGGGCAGCGCAATATACGAGGCAGATTTGAAAGTGGGGAAGAACCAAGTAAAGCTAACCACTGAGTCTCCGGCAAATAAAGTGCTCGATGGGTTACTGAGCATCGGGGGTGAGATTTCATCGGAAATGGTAATAAAAATGGCTGAGACAATAGCGCCACTGAGAGATGAGGTGATAAATGAGTTATTAGAGTGTACGAGAGAAAGAAAAAACGAGTTAACAAGTGATGAAGAAATTCTAAAAGCGAAACTTGATATAGTGGAAACGTTAGTGGAAACTATAAACGATATGATAGAAGAGGCGAAAGAACAACTTCTAGCCCAAGTGAAAATGGAGGTATCTCAGAGTGTCCGACAGATAAAAGAAATAACTGAAGATATCGGTACCACTCAGCCTCTGTCCGGCAGTCCTTCGGAGTGGGTGATAGAAATTCCCGAGGAGGAGAAACAGCAATCAGAAGTGGCATCACGATCCGCCGAAGAAATGCTAAGCCTGACACATGAGAGTGGTGGCCAATTGGTTGGGGATTTGAAACATTGGTATGCTAATGATAAAGAGCAAGTGGGAGGTGTGATAACTATGGAAGGGATGACCAATATGACCGATGTGGAAGGAAGAACGTATTTGACCCAAATACAGGCAAAATTACGAGACGAGACAATGGGGCAAATTGAAGAGATTAGAGATCCTTCGGAAACCGATGTAAGCGAATGGAAGAAAAAGCCGAGTAGTCTCGAGTTACATACAACACTGATATCTCCGAAGGATATGGTCAGAATGAGCCAGGTTGAAAGACTTTTGGAGGATATGTTAAAGGTGATCAACGAAGGTGAGTTACCAGAAGTAGTGATTAAAGCAGCAGAAAAAATTGCACAACTATCTGATAAGCAAAGATACGATTTAATTGATGGTATAAAACGAAAACAAGGCGAGACGGTGTTTGTAAGTTTGTACAGCGAAGAAAAACTTAGCGCACTGCTAGGAATAACGGAACGAATGAACTCAATGTTGGAAGAGGTGAGAGAGCGATTCATTTTGCAACTGAGATCCGAATCTTCCGCGTATGCTAAAAGTGTAACTGGTGGACAGGTAAAACCCGGTTCCCCAAGGGATATCAGTGGAAATGAGTTCAGCCTATGTGGACCTTTGCCGACAAGTGGATCGAAAGCCGAGTCGGACGCAGTGTTGGAACCAAGTGAGTTACCTTGGCAAGGAACAAGGGCAGTAAGTCATGGGAAAGAGGAAATGACGTTGGGCAGTGAACAAGCGGATGAGCAAGGGCAAAGGGACCTATCTGGTAGTCTTCACATAGTAGAGACAGGACGTGGATCTACTGAAAGAACGCAGAGCGCGACTAAATCGGAAACAGCAAGGGAGTTGAGTCCGGAGCCTGATGAGCAGAATGTAGTTCTAGGAGCAGGATCCACCGGGTCTGAAACGTCCCAGTCTATGCCAAGAGACAAGGAAAAAGAAAAACTAGAACTTCTAGCAAAACTGCTCGCAATGACTGAAGAGGAAAGGGAGGAGTATGTGAGTCGAACTATAAGCAGACTGGACGAAGAGATGCGCAAAATATCAAGTAATGAAATAGAAAATATGTGGAATGTAATAGCGCTGGCCGATCGAATTTCAAAAATGTCGCTAGAAGATAGAAAAGCGTTGGCCAGGGAAACGCGAACGCTGTTGGGAAAGAAATCGCTTAGTAAGGAGTTTAGTATAGATTCAAGATCGGCCTTTGAAGAAACTGAGCGAGAGAGATCAGTCGTAGGGATTCGGAAAGCCAGTGAGTTAAGTACCAAAGAAGTGAAAAAGGTGTCTCCTGTAGACAGTGAAAGAAAGGTGGAAACGATTTCCGCATTTTCAGGTCACCATAAGGATGAGGACGCTGGATTTGTAGCCGCTAGTCAGGGTGTGCCCGAGACCAAGAGACGTAGAAAACGGGGTAGAAGAACAACAGAAGACTCCGACAACTTGGACAGACAATTCAACGCTATGATGGGCACTTATCGTCGAAACAGGCATCGACCAGAGTCACATCGCTTCACTACACAAGCCATGCGAAGTTTCTACAAGGCGCAAAGAATTACTCACATTCTGGACGCACTAATTTTAGACACGATTCAGTACGTGAAGAAACACCTCCCTACATCACCCAGGTAGCCGAAAAGCCAACGATTGTGGCCGAATCTATGCTGCCCAAGAGTACCCTCTGGAGGAAAAGAAGCAAGGAAGTCAATCGAGGTATCTCATGTACTGCTGCGCTGCAGAACAACAAACATAAGAAATCGGGATGACTGGGTGCGCGCCGATGTTTTTCAGCTGGATTTCAATTTCTCCTCTTGTTCCTAAAAAAATAAAAAGGAGCGATTTTGTTTGCAAAACGGAATAAAAAGAAACTTACATTGCTGGCTGTAACCACACTGGTAGTTCCAGACAGGTTTAAGTGCTCTTCTGTCACCTTTGGACGTGAAGCCTGTGGGTTGAATGAAACAATATCGTTTTGCTGTGGTACGTATACACATGAAGTATACAAACATGGTGCAATTTTGCTAATTGGGCAAACTCTTCGAATCCGGATAAATGAAGGAACGATGCACATTCCAGGTTAATTCGAAAATATCAGAGATGGCCAACTAGTCAAGTTAAGCTCTTGTGTTACTAGTGCCCGTAATGTGGATCGAAACACTCCATGCTCTAGCGTTTGGTTCAGGTGATGTTGTCGGGAAGTAGAAATGGCTCCAGCTAGGCACAGAGAAATACCCGTGAAGAAATAAACATAAACAGTCGTAAGTGGACCGAGTGGTCACCAGTAAGTACAACTACGTGGCTCATGAAGTGGGGAAATAGGTTTAATAAACCAGCAATCCATCGGGTCATCAACCGCAACGACAGCAGAGCATCAGTAACGTGAACGGAGGCTCTAATGCTATGCAACCTGGACAATTAAGGAAATAAGAAGGGTTGAGGGAGAGAAGGGGACTTAACGTAACAGCCAAGCGTGATAAGGGAACACGCAGGGTCAAAATCTAAATAACTTGTGACGACGTACGGCCACAAACAGTTAGCCAGCATGCAAAAATAGGGAAGCATAAGTGAAGCAGCTTCTTTGCAGCTTCTAACCTTGTACCCCAGATAACTCATCAGCAGGCGCAATTTAAACAGGTGGGTCACAAGGTAGACGAGAATAGTCGCGTCACTGGTACCAGTTGTGATCTAGGTCTTGAAAAGTTTCGAACTAAATGCAAGACGGGTCGCGCGTGGACCCCGGCTTGTAAGGCGAGAAGAACCGGCAGTAGCACTCAGTTTAGTTGGCAATGACATCACTTATCGCTAACGGACCTACATTTGCCAACTCGAGTCTTGCGCTATCCAACATCCAGTGAATAAAATGTCTTCAGAAACAGAAAGTAGCGAACAAGCTTGTTTTATGGCTTCATCATCAGGCTACTACAACCACAATTCGGCTCTATAACCCGGACCTATGTGCACAAAAAAAAACTCGTCCATACTTTAACACTGCCTTGGCCTCAAACCAACGCGACTAACAATGTCAGTCAGACCACTTCACCTGAGCTCGGCTCAACCAGACCAAGTACGTAGACTTATCGATTAGTTACTCTGCTTCAGTGACCCACCATAAACCCATTGTGTCTATCCTATCTTGCTTTATTGTGGTTGTGTTAGCCTGATGATGAAGCCATGAAAACAAGCTTGTTCGCTACTTTCTGTTTCTGATGTCGTCTTCGGGAAATATTGCTCAATTGAAACGTATTCCCTTCCGTAATGAGTGACGCGGATACGTAACAAGTGTCCAAGACGACGCAACTCATACGACGCTATTTGGTATTCAAAGGTATTAATCTGATAAGGAACGCATGACACTCAGCTGCGTTCATAATCATCGTTGACACGCTGGTGGTAACTTATATTGGAAACGGCCCGCTAGCAAGGATGATAAAAAATCTGAAAGTGCCTAGAGTGGATGAGTGTAACGGAGAATAGGATCGGTTAAAGGGAGCTGAGTGGTAACACATAAGTGCGATCAGGGGCACCCCTACGAAGCAGATCAATGGCTAGATGTCAGACAAACTCGATTTTAGCGACTTCACCCCAGACTGGGGTGTTCAGCTCAGTTCAGTTAGACAACTATGATCCGGGGACAGAAGTCTGGTGGATCCAGTTGCCACAACCCATCGTCAGGACAAAAGTAAATCGCAAGGGAGAGAAGTGAAGTGGAAGGAAAAAGGGTGCAAAGAAAAGGGAGCGGAGAAAGAAATGAGTGAAAACAAAAGGGTTTGGGATATTGACAGATGCAGTTAGATCCAATAGAACCACTGACGTGGGCCATAACGAGGCTTTTCTTTACGATCGTCTCTCGGTCAATCACCTCACGTCTACATGCTACATCATCGGCTGGCTGCCTCGCGGATTTGCCCAAGTTGGTGCAGCGATAGTTTATAACGCACATCGAGGAAGACGGTCAACTGGCATATGAGGACGTGACCTAGCAAACCTATCCGACTCAATCTTAGCACTCAAGTGAGACAACAGAGGATTTCTTGCCAAACACCAACTGCTCAATCAGTGTTTCAACCATATGTAAACAATATTCCCCAAACATCGGTGTGTATCAAGCGGTAAGTAGCCAGTTCTCTGATTCATGCAGGTACACCGACGTTATCGTGTTATGAACCCACACTTTCATTATTAACGGCCTAATATCTCGTCGTCTCCATGGATAGCAGAGCCTCTAGAAAGCCATACTGATTTTGCTGAGACGTGAAGTAACCTCCTCAATAATGTGGCCACAAGTGACACAACTACCAAGTAGGGTGGGAAATGATCCACTGCTCTCAGTATCCGTTTGCTGATAGCAAGAAGTAGTGGTGTATCGAGCCAGTTCTGTAACAGAACTTCGCCTTTTAAAGGTTCAAAATACATGCCGAAGCGTGTCAGTTTAATCATTTGTGATTGCGTAGCCAATGTGTCCGACTCGAGGAGTACTGCGTCATCAACCTAGTTAAGGCACGTTAGTTGGTCACGTAGAAGAAATTCCACCCCAGACAAAGTTGAAAGAATAGAGTCATCTACGATCGATTTGACAAAAATGTTGAAGAGGAAATGAGATGTAGAACAATCCTGGCAGGCGTTAGTCTTAGGAAACTAAGAAGACAATTTTTCGTAATCTTACTAGGTATCGTAGGTCGCGGAAGACTACAGGAAGGAAAGAGATCACCCTGGCAACCACCTTAGGGATAAGAAGTACCACAAGCTAGCAATAGAGGTGGACATGCGATCGTTAACGTTCCCATAGACTCACTGAGGTGTGCGGGGCTGGGTCTTGTGAAATCCTCAGATTGACCAAGTTGGGGATTTGGAATGACGGTGTCTCCTTATTCCTTAAAGTGGACTTCCAGAAACTCACCGTCAAACTCCCATTGCCTTGCGGTTAGGTTTTTGAACAAAGGGACTCGGGTTAGGATATTAAGCGTTCTCATGCCTAGGTCTGGACAACCGGATTAGCTTGTCCACATAATACAGGGAACATTCTTCCAAAAGAGACGGCAGCAGCACGCCGACGCAGTGCATCGACGTTTCGCTGCCGCGCAAGCACCATCAGTCGCACGTGGGCTAAAGATGCTGCTAGGGTCTCCCTGCCCGTACGCAGGCTAGAACCCGCGCCATCAGACTACAAGGTAAGCTTGTTACCTTAAGCCCCTGACCGACAACTTTTTGATGCCATGGACGTCACAGATAAGTAACGGTACCCTAAGTCAGCCGGTGGCCGGCTGGTCTGCATGCCTGGCTTGCAATCACAAGATCACCGGTTTGAATCCGCGTAGGGGTGGGTGTCCTCGCGGTATACTTAACCCACGCTCAACTGGTGGTGGGCGCGTGGCAGCGAAGCGCCGTTACGGCGTACAGCTGACAATTTATTTTTTCAACGGCACTTTATCCGTTGCAACGATTAGACTGGACTAGAGAGAGAATGCGACTGCTCAGCCCTCCTCGTCTTTGTATGCCTCTCTTACGCTTCACATCTCCATCGTCCATTACCTCCCATTTTAACTACCGTGCGCTTGGCCCTTCCGCAGCTTGCTTTGGTAAGCATTTGTATGGCAGTTTTGATTCCCTCGCATTCCCGGAGCGTCGTTACTCCCTCACGACAAGTCCATGTCAAGTCAAGTGGACAACTTCAGTTCACCCGCTTCTGTTTGAAGACCTCGATCTTCGTTAAGAGCAGTATGTCTCAATGTGCACACTTTGCTCTAGATCAGTCAACAGGCAACACATGCACGAACATTAAAGACCCCATTGACTGATATCTGCTGTTTATCGGAAACCCACGTGTAAAACTGCGCTTCTGTGCTTATTCTACGATATACTTCCTGTGATACTGTCGGTACTTTCTCATTACATCTACCTGGAGATAACGCAGCATCAAATGCTGGTCAAACTGGTGCGGGTATTGCTTTGGACCCCAAGGCTGAAGCTACTCTAGTTGATTGGCTCCTAGTCAGTTGCCGGATATGCACCGTCAAATGCACTGACTTGTTCCAAGGCCTCGAAGTCATGCGTGCTTATCATCGCTATCCAAGCCTTCATAAACTGAGTCACTGACTCAGTGGACGAGAAATGTTATCATCAACGGAAGCAGATCTTTCGTCCCAGAAGTAGCACATATACTGTAGTGCCGACTGACCAGTTGAAATCTCAACTTGAAAAACTGCTCATTGATGAGCTCCATCTGGGGGACCAACACAGCGTAGGTTCCCGTAAGGTAACAACGATCGATTGCAACATCTCTGTGAAGATGCTCGCCTAGTTCTCATGAGCAATAATTGCCGACACAGTAACCGCCGCATACTAATTCAAACTAGCTACGGATGTAAACTGGTCACATCACGATCAATTGCAGTTGTAGAGGCTACGTTTGAAACCGCTGCTGGATTCGGAGCGCACGCACAGACTTCGACCATGCAATAGTATGTGTTGATCTCCGGGTGCGTTTAGGTGGAAGAGCGCGATGACACTGTGTGCGCATAGACATCACCCAATTGACGAAACCAAACGTTCTAAATGTTTATCGAAGTAAGTCGAAATTCGGGATGAGTAAGCGTTTACTGAACGCAATTGGTCACTGGTCGCACGTTCATCAGACCTCAGTAGCAAGAGGCATTTCTTAATATGGTAAATCCAATGGCCTGCACGGACCGTGGGGCTCTACGATCTCCCTGAGGTCTCTCGATGCTCACCGACACATTCCAGGTCGAACGGAGTACGACGAAACTCGTAAACCAATCAGAACAGAATGGTGTACTAGTTTGAAGAGAGCATATGAGCTAAAGTTGATGGCGTCATCACGCAATGGAGATAGATGACCACTTTCTTGGTAAACTGCGCACGTTATTCCGTGCCGCGCGGAAAACGCGCTGCAGCAGAACTGGTGCACGCGAAATTATATGCGACGCGGAGAGCATGCCTATTCAAAACACCTCAGCTAATGTGCCGCAATACAAAAAAGATGCAATATTAAACATAACAGAAAAATAAAAAGTAATCTAATTCTAAATACCATAGTATGCATGAGATCGTTGT